GCGGTCGTCCACGGGGGCAAGTGATCAACCTCCATAGATTACGCGGGTTGGGACATGTGTTACGTATGTCGCCAAATAGGTTGCCGCGGCGAACGATGTTTGCCAAGGCTGGTAGCAATTGGAAAAAAACAAAGGGCGGTCAAGCTAAGACCTGGCATGAGGGTATGAAAACCGTAATCAGGAGACTAGGTCACATAGGCCCCGTTAAGCTCCCCGGCTGGGGACCTCAGGATGATCGTAACCGATGGTTAGAGACACTAAGTGATATGGCTGAGTGTCGCAAACAGTGGCGCTCATGCATCCACTCGTTATTCTCCTGATACCACTCTATATGAATTCCCCATCTTCCGCTTGAATTTGCTTCGATATTCCAATCTTCATTTTGCTCTTTTATCCAAATGGGCAACCAAAACCGGCGCACGAAAGTGTATGGTTAATGGTTGTAAAAACTGAAACTGAATGCTTCCTATAAGCTGCAAGGTTAATACTTTTACTACGGCTGGCTCCTTAGAAAGCCGGCTACATGAATGTCTCTGATTGCTGCCGCAGAAGACATGATCATGAAGTTACTTGGGAGTTTGGTACGAGAGATGTCTCGAGCGGCACTCGGTGTTTTTGCTTTGAGAGCTCACCTCTAGTCTTTGCACAACCAAGTGCGAACTGTAAGGCAGCAGGAAGTATTCCCTAGCCTCAGAAGAGAGCGGATCAACGACTTTAGTTTTAAAGACCAGTCACATCGACCCTCATCACAACACCGTCATTGGATTTATGCGGCTTTTAAACAGGAGCCAGGTGACCAGCCTGAAATCCACCACACCCTGGTAGTGCCGCCGCTATTTGTTCGCGACTGATTATTTGTTGCGGTATGCCACAACTTATTCAAAGCAAACCTTCTTCGGCGAAGGTATTTCCCTATCCACAACCTAGGGACGCGCCTGGTGGCATTCAGCTCTACTTAACCCGAGGATATATGACCAACCTGGAACCCATATCCCTTTACTATTACTGCCACTTCAATCTGCACCTCTACACTTACACAGTGACCTGATGTTGAAGAGGTATTCTACTATCAACTGACCTGATTATGGTAGGGCGTGGGTGTCTATTTGTGACTACTTCCCTTACACCCCGCGAAATGTTCCCATACGACCAAGTGTCTCAAAAAGCCTCTGCTGAGGAAGCCCTACTCTCTGCCTTCTCGTGGTGGTTTTCCCACTAAAGCGCGAGGACGGAAAGCCAATATTTGGGCTTAAAACCCGGTCGGTGAAACACTGGCAGTTCACCTGGGGGAGTTGGCTAGATCCTGGTTCCAAACTCGCCAAGAAAAAGTATACGAGCCACACACTCACACCTGGTCGCGGCAGTGATCAACGGGTCGATTGAGTATCGCGGTGTATTGGGCACCTTGGACGTTTGACCCCGTCCAAAAGGGTGTACGATCCGATGAAATGGACACCAGCCCCCATTGAATTGCGGGTTTCCACAAACCGCCCCGCTGCCTTGCGGTAAGGCTTTGGCTAGCCGAAGTCTCCGGTTGTGAATTTCCTAGGAAGACTCCCCTGCTTTGGTCTGAGAAACCTAGCAGTATCGTACTGATGGACAAATCGTGGAACGCTTCTTTTTATAAAAATTATTGTGCCGTGATTTGTTTGGCTCACTATGAACTCAGACGTGTGTGAAATACATACATATATATATGCTTTGGTTAGTATTATCCAACATGGGCTCTCAATAACCTCGTAAACACCATGGTATTCCAACAATGGGTAGCTAGTCAGCAGACTGCATCTTAATCCGATCTCATTGGGAATCAGCAATGAAGACCGTCAGTGTTATAGAAACGGAGAATAACCAGTTAAATATTGTCCATGCTCGTTTCAAGAACCGAATTTTTTATCACACTTTGGTGTGATGAACAGCAGACAAGGTGAACCCCATAGTCACGAGGACCTGCTGTTTAGTGGTGGAAACCGGTAACCTAAGCCCCGGGACTTGGAGTGGTGAACCACAAAAGGATCCCGATAGGTCAGGTTGCTAACACCGTCTAGTTTTCCGTCTCGGTAAACTGAATATAGCTACACTAGTCTTCTATAACACGTTTAATATCCCAAGCTCTAGTTGTCGAGGAGTAGATTAGCAACCTTGTCACTCGAAGCAAGGAAAAATTAACTGAAAACCGATCTTCGATGCTGAAGACAACCGTCCCGAAATCCTACTACCGAAATTGGGGTTGTTTTAGGATTTCAAAAGGATTGGACATCCGACAGAATGTTGCGCGAAATCGGCATAAATGACTTTGGAAACTTCTGTCGTGAAGCCACCCACATGGTCAGAAACGATCTCGACAAACATTGCTCCGAAAGCGTGGAAACAGTAATGAACGGATGCTGTTTTCGATTACATACCTGAAGCGCAGATAGGATGGACCTAGTGTCTTGAACCGACAACTAGACCAGTTCCCCAAGAGGTTTCATGCGACTTATATGATAAAGCCTATGGTTTAGATTATGTCACGCCGTACTCTGATCGACAAATGCTTGCCTCGCGAAACACCGCAAAGAAGCCTGTCGGACAGTATTGGGAACCCACGACCTAGCCACTGCAATCTACGGAGGTCAAACACGCGTCTATGTAACCAACATTGATTGTTGCTCCTCTACTAAGCTTGGCAGTGCTTGTCTCATCGGGCTCGTGAAATGCACCGTCGCAAACGGTTTAAACACCGATGGTCTTTGGATACCTTCCACTCATCCTACAGCAACATCGGCTGGACTGCTAAAACATACGCTTAACCCTTCCCATAAAACCAGCCATCGCGTCAGCAACAAGTGTCTTAGGTTGACAAATGATGGAAAAGTATTTTCTCACAGTATCAACAATTCATACAAGACATTTTCGCCAGGACAGATAACGCTGCAGCGAAAGATAAATAAATTTATTTCACTGTGAAATTAAGAGACCAACGGAGTCCGTATTTTGAAAGACGTACAGTGACATTCAAGCCATCACCGTGACCCCTCAGCAAGTGCGTGTTGTTCTTAAAATTGGCGAAGACGAAAGAATGTAATGTACCAGGGCGGATCAACCCAGATAATTGACGATTTTTGGTTGTAAACTGTCTGAATCGTTGCTTACTTGTACCTTCGTTCTCTTTCTGACCACAGGGCTACCAATTACACTAAAAAGATTAACCAGACAATGATAGAAATTAAGCTAAGTGTCCTTTCTTCGACCTGCTCATCGATTAATACAAGCAAATAGTCACAGGTTGCCCTGTAGACAAATTGTTGTAATGACTAACGTAATATGCACTAGATCACTGCCATTTTACCTTTGCTGATACTGTTCCCCCAAGATGGTTGGAATTATCAAGGTTGGAAATAGTAACATATTATGCCGCTGATGCTTGCTTGTGGGTAAATTTGTAGACGTGAAACAATGGCAAGAACGGAACCAATAAGTCAATTTGGTTGCGTAAATTTAGCAAAAATATAGCTAAGCTTTATTTTCTCCCTTCCAAAAAGTTTCAATCAGGGCTAACTAATATCCTCGATANGCAATGTGGCAAGTGTTAATCATATGATTAACAGTGACAAGTCACTGAAATTTAGCAGAACTTACATCTGCTGACGGGCGCCTTGGACAAAACTTTTCGCAGCAGTTTCCCATCACCTGATGATAAAAAAGTGCTTTAAATTATTTTAGCATACAATGATAAGCGAAACAAAAGACAGAGATTATTAAGTGAACTTTTATTCGGTTTAGCGAGAACAAATTTACATCCCACAAGAACATCACAAAGCATAGTAGTCTAATGTCCGTATCTAAGGAAATTATGATTACTGAAAAGAGAACATACTTTTGGAATTCCCAATCTCTATTATCTAGAGGACAAACTTGCCGAGTTTTCAGCCAGCGGGAGATACAGTGGAAGTGGAATGCGTGCTTAAACTATATATACGAGAAAATGCACCTACATTACAAGTTCCCCACGCAACCGTGCACTCTTCGCTTGTAGCAGAAGCGTTGTTCGCCTGACACTCAATGCCTAAATTTAAAAAAATATTAAATTATACCACTCCCGCTCACATAAGTCCATGATATGATTTCGGCAAATAGCACAATTATCAACAACTATATCCCAGGCCCAAAGAGCAACCGCATACCACTTCTTTATTTCAAAGCGTTTTTTACTGCCACTGGGTGGCTGTGAAGGAGAAATTTCATCTACTTCCATTTCAGACATAGCGAGGAAATCGAAAGTGGCGGAAACATACGACCTTCGAAAATCGATCAATTCAAGATTCACAGTTCAGTTCAGTTCAGTTCAGTTCGGTTTGCACAGGACGATGTGTGGCCCGGGCCAATCTTGCGTCCAGA